CATCGGGAGCAATTTGGGGTTCAGTTATCTTGCTCAAGGATACTTCGACACGTGGCAGGAGGAGCCGGGGATCGAACGAACAACCTTCCGTTTGGGGGACGACCTGCTCTGCCTCTGAGCCACAGCCGCCCCACTTTAACACTACTGTACAACCGCAAGTGTTCCGAGATCCAACATTTTCAACGTGATACGTCTTCTCTTTAGCTGATCGCTTCATGTCTGTTTCAGGAGTTGTGTTCTGCCACTTAAACTGCTTAATATCATATCAGAATCGGGAAACAATAGGAACAGATTATATTAATGGCAGTGATTCATTTTAGGACCACCATTATTTCTCTGTGGGGTTGGTATTAGTACTTTTTACTAGTAATGGACCTGAACACACCCATAACCTATTAACCTAACTATACCTGTGTGTTACCGGCTGATAGGGATGTAACGATGCATTCAAATCCTGATTATATTAAATTTACAATACTGGGTTTCAACATTGGTTTACCCGGCAGAGTAAAAGAGAAGAAGCAGCTCTCAGCAATGTCAACTACAACTGGTTGATAATGTATATGTTCAATTATTTAACAGGTTAAAGAATATTTAATATTCTTGAATGAAGTTATTTAAGATAATGATCAATTAAAAATTGGTGCACAATTTCAATAAATTTTTTTTCAGCAATATATACAATCAACATACAAAGGGTCTATTTTAATTCCAGGTCAAAAATTCAATAGATCGGCCGCCGGATTGGTTCTCTTATCTCCTCAGTATCAGTCTCAAAACTCCCTTATTAGTCGTGCTCTAACTTCTAGTAAATATCGGATGTCGGTATTTTAGTTTTTAAATTAATTATTATTTTTGTGTAGTATCCAAAATTGAACAAATACATTGAAATGTTTGTTCCAGTAATGTCCTGTGTTATCCTGCAGATAATCACAACAGATGAAGCAGAGAGGAGGGGTCACGTGTACGACCGCCAGGGCTCCACATACCTGTTTGACCTGGACTATGTGGAGGACGTGTATACAGTGGATGCAGCTCACCAAGGCAACATCTCCCACTTTGTCAACCACAGTGTGAGTGTCTTCAGACTGTGTACAGAATATACTGCTGAAAGGTCACTCTGTCAGCTGGCCCACACACTGAATTTGTATCTATGTAGCGGTGTGCCTTGTTCTTAAAGCTTTTTTTTAGCTGTCAATTCACACAGTTTCACAGTTAAACTAAATGTGAATAAACATAAAAAATAAGTCCTGTCAATGTCCCCCCTTTTTTTTTTTTTGCAGTGTAACCCCAACCTGCAGGTATTTAATGTTTTCATCAACAACATTGATGAGAGGCTCCCAAGAATTGCTTTATTTTCAACACGGGCTATCCGGGCAGGAGAGGAGCTCACCTTTGACTACAAGATGCAAAGTAAGTGTCATTGATTCAGCAGATTTGAAGTTAACTTGAAGAGACATTTTGAGGGATCAAGTTCTGAGACTAGTCCTGTGTAATATAATATAATATAGTATATCATATAGTTAAATGTAGGGATTTAACACTCAGCATTCTATACAATAACAATAAAAAAATTTCACTAAATTTTTACACACAGGCCCAAAATACGATTATGCACACAGGAATTATAGACGTGCAAATGTGGAGAGATGGTGGAGTGATGGGCTGCCAAGTAGCAGTGCCCTGGGAACAGTTAGGGGATCAATGCCTTGCTCAAGGTGGAACCTCAGTAGCTACCAGTCCACACTCCATACAGTGGCTCATGCTGGACTTGAAATGGCAACCCTCCGGTTAACATGTCAAGCCCCTAAAGACTGAGATACTACTGCCCAGAAATAAGTTAATTTATCAGACAAAAATCTACAAAATATATTTAATTTCTGTGGTAGGGTATAAACTGCAAAACAATGCTTATTGGCTTTTCTTTGTAAAAATGAAACTGATGCTTTCCTCACAGACAAAATATATCTGAAAAATGTATAACGTCTTGTACACCGACCATCCTGTTACTAGCAGTCTATAAGGTGAGGATACGTTTGTGAAGGGGTCAAGCAAAGTTATGTTGCATTTTAATGGTTGATAAGAGTCCTTTCTAACCCAACTCCTGTTTATTATTTCCAGTTGATCCAGTGGACACAGAAAGCACCAAAATGGACTCAAGTTTCAGTCTAGCGGGGCTCCCCAGCTCTCCAAAGAAGAGGATTCGAGTGGAGTGTCGATGTGGATCAGACTCATGTCGAAAGTACTTGTTCTGACAAGGGATACTGCTGGGAATTCAACACCCTCATCTGTGTAAAGATGTGGAAAACTGTACAGATTTGTATATGAATTTTTATTTTTTTTATGAAAGCTAAAATTCTCCATGTGTTCTTTTTTTTTTATATGTGAACATGACAAACTCTCCCAAGATGAGAATCACAATTCAGAGTTTCAAATCTGATTAACTTCAACAGAATGTAGAGCTTCTTGACTTCCAGTGAATCATGGATTCTTTGAGTACTTAATTTCAGTGATTTTAAATTATCTTTCTCTGTCCACTTTAAATGGCAAGATAGTTAAAATAGATGAGTGAGCATGTATATTAGTCCATACAGAGTGCAACACAAGACAACAGCCATTTACTTAGTAAAATATTTTCTGTGGCTGCGTCTTCTGTGCTCTAAAAACATAGTCCGCAAGAACATGACACAGCTACATGCCCAAGCCTTTTCATCACTGTAAAATGATAAAGCTGGTTTATTACAGCTTGAGTTTTAGTTTTTCTCATCACATTTGCCAGTGACAGTATTGTAGCCACCAAGTAGCTGAGATCTCGGAACATCACTAAAAAGAAGTCTGATGGGCCAAGTAAGACAAACTGGTTGGGACCTTCATGTTGGCCAGCTTTCAAAATAAAATTCAGACAACTAATGCATACAAAATATAACAATACAATATGTACATATACACCAATCAGCCATAACATAATGACCACTGACAGGTAGCAGGGACAGGGTCATGGGGGGCCAAGGC